ACCTAAGAAACAACGAAATTAGCACAACAAGGAAAGAATCAATTAGATTTACACAAAAGAGGTCTGAAATCAGTCAAAAAACATTGAAAGTCATTTTAGAGGGGAAGCTCAACATATATAAAGAGTACACAAGTATTAGGCATGCGAGGCTGAATTTAGGACAAAGAAAAAGCGTCATGGAATCACAAAAATTAGTAAGTAGTGAACTATAGGAACATGGTAGTCATCTTAGTGACAAAGAAGAGGGAGAGTATCAAATAGCATGCAGAGGGTCCAGTAGAAAGACCCTAGAAGAGTTTAGCAGGAAATCAGAATCATATAAAGAAACAAAGGTTGAAACAAAGATTTCGAAACTCAGAGCAGCAGATGAAACAATCTTCAGAAACTCGAATAGGTCCAAAGAAGTTAGGGTTTTGAAATCAAACAAGTTCAAAGATGAAGAACAAGCAAATCACAGAGCGAATAGTCTCAATACTCGGATAAAACCCCAAATTTAGGGTTTTGCCATCAATCGAGTTTAGATATGAAAAGACAAGTAATCAAGGAAAAAATACTAACGAAATAAGTTCAGAAATCTCAGAAAGGAACTGAGACTTTTTACATGCATTTTCCAGTAGAAGAAACAATCATAAGAAATACAGTAGAAGAACACATAAGAAATACAGTAGAAGAAACACATAGGAAATACAGTAGAAGGAACTTATAAGAAACACAGTAAAAGACACACATGCGAAACACAGTAGAACATGCTAAAGATCAGAGAAACTTTAAAGGATAACTTAACGAAACCCTAAATCGGATAAACATGAAGGCTCTGAAGGTATAGTTTTGAAAGAACTTTGAGAAAATGTTTAAAAGCTTAGAGAAAACACTGATATAAAACGTATCTAAAAGAATCGGAAAAACCTCGAAGGTTTAGGGTTTCAAAAGAACCCAGGTGATGAGAAAGGCTTGGAAAGTCATTGATCTGAGCCGGAGAAGTCGAGATCAGGCTCGAATGACCATGGCTGGCCGGAGCGAGGTCGAAGACGGCCATAGAACTCGAATCAAACAAAGTCTGGGCCAAGCTTCTTCAAGGTTAGGCCTTGGAACCACAGTAACCAGGCGTGTAGGAGTTATGGGAGGCCAGTATTGGACTTCAATGGCCTTGGAAGTCATGGATTCCGGTGGTTTTAGGGTGGAAGTGGAGGGAGGCGGCTAGGGTTTCTGAGGGAGCTTCGAGAGAGAATTGAGAGAAGGGGAGGAATTCAAGGGAGGCTACAGAAGGGAAATGATTAGGTTTAGGGGTTAGGTCGGGTTAAAAAAGGAAGGGGCAAATATGAGTCGTTGATCTAAGTGATCAACGGCTAGGATTAAAAGGAGAGTCCGGGCGGGTTATTTAAAAGGGTCGTGGGTCGGGTAGATTAGGTAATTGGGTTGGGTAATTGGGTTTAATTAGAGATTCAAATCCGGCTAAAATTAAAATGCAAATGGGCTATCATTTAAATAGCCATTTTTCCCTCATTTATTTTATAAAAATAGTAAAATAATTTCTGAAAATAAATTAAAGGTACTAAAATGATTAATAATACGTAATTATCAAATTAAAAATACTGGAGTCAATTTTATAACTATAAATACAATTAAATCTTAAAAGAGACCAGTATTGCAATTACATGCAATTTAACTTAAAACATACCAAGCAAATTTATAAAATATGCAAAAATTATGTTGGCTATGTTTTAGTGTAAATATGAGAATCCAATAAATGAATTACTAAAATGATAATTTTGGGAATAATTATTGGGTTTTTCTTTATAAAATAAGGCAATAAATTGATTTAAAAATCTTTCAAAAATTAGGGAAAATAATAAAATATTGGGACATACTTATATATGCATATACATGCTATTTTGAAGGTATTTTGCATATTAAAAAAATACAGGGAAAAATTGGGTATCGACAAGATCTCCCGGAATACCGTTTCGTAGTCACAAAGTAAATATGCAGGGGGATCTCCCGGGATACCGTCCCGTAGTCCCAAAGTAAATACACAACTCAAACAATGGAAATAACAACTACAACACGAAATCCTGCAGTTTAGACTAAGTACAAGTCAAAGAAGAAGCAGGAAATCCACTAAGCATGCTGCACAGAGTTCAGATAAGCATTTAAGACACGCATACATGCTATTCTAGGCTAAATAGGATAACTACACATGCTGGTATAACTCAAATAAGAAGGAACATGTTATTACTCAGTGATTATCTGATTTTACAACAAATAGCTCATGTACGCACTCGTCACCTCATGTACACGACGCTTACATATCACAATAGTACCAAATCCTAAGGGGAGTTCCCCCACATAAGGTTAGGCAAGCCACTTACCTTGAACCAAGCTCAATCAATCGGTAACAATGGCTTTTCCACGAATATCCGACTCCGAATGGCCCAAATCCAGCCGAAAGAAATTACACACCGTAAATATAAGTATAAGAAACTAATCTAATTAATAAAATCAAGGCTTAAGCAAGAAATTAGAAAATCGCCCCAAAAAGTCGACCCAGGCCCACGTCTCGGAACCGGGTAAAAGTCACAAAATATGAACACCCATTCACTCATGAGTTCACTCGTACCAAAATATCCAAATTCGATATCAAAATCTCAATCAAAATCCAAAAACATAGATGAAGAACTTCTTCCCAATTTTCCCAAATTTTCAACCCAAATCCGAAATTAAAAGATGGAATTAATGATAGATTAGTAGGATATAACCAAAATCAAGTGTAGAATCATTACCCAATCGATGTCTCTGAAAATCCCTCAAAATCTCGTCCAAATCCGAGCTCTCAAACTCAAGTTCTGATAAAAATGGCCAAACCCTCGATTTTGAAATGTTATATTTTGCCCAGGTGAATCCTTCTTCGCAAACGCGGCCAAATCCTCGCGTTCGCGTAGACCACTCTGCCTGCCTCTCGATTTAACACTACGCGAATGCGACCTCTGCTTTGCGAACGCGAATCTTTACAAACTCCACTCTTCGTGAAGTGACCCCTACCACGCGAACGCATAGACCAAATGGCTGGGGTCCCCAGCTGCCTCACTCCTCTTCGCTAACGTGTTCCACTTCTCGCGTTCGCGATGCCTTCACTGACCAAACCTTCGCGAACGCAGGCTCCTCTTCGCAAACGCGAAGAACAAACTTCTATCAGCCTCCAAGAACACCTTGCGAACGCGAGACCTCCCTCGCGAACGCATAAGAGGAAACCAGATAAATCATACCAGCAGATAGTAGCCAACAACTTAAGTCCAAAAATGATCCGTTAACCACCCGAAACTCACCCGAGGTCCCCGGAAACATACCAACAAGTCCCAAAATATCATATGAACTTTGTCAAATCCTCAAATCACCTCAAACAACAACAAAAACATGAATTACACACGGATTCAAGCCTAATGAACTTTGAAATTTTAAATTCTACAAACGACGTCAAAACCTATCAAATCACATCGGATTGACCTCAAATTTTGTACACAAGTCATACATGACTCCACGAACCTACTCCAAATTCCGAAAATCCAATCCGACTCCGATATCAAAAAGTCCACTACTGATCAAAATATCCAAAAATTTGACTTTCGCCATTTCAAGCCTATATCAGCTACATACCTCCAAAACACAATCCGGACACGCCCCTAAGCCCAAAATAAACCAACGGAGCTAACGGAATCGACGGAACTCCATTTCAGAGTCGTCTTCACACAGCTCTGACTACAGTCAAAATTCTAAGACTTAAGCTTCCGTTTAGAGACTAAGTGTCCCAAAACACTCGGAACCAAAAGAAAAACCTCCCGGCAAGTCACATAAGTAGAAAAAGATATGGGGGAAGCACTTAGTAGGGGATCAGGGCTATTACTCTCAAACCGACCTGTCGGGTCGTTACATCCTCCCCCTCTAAAACAATCGTTCATCCTCGAACAAGCATAAAGACATACCTGAAGTGGTGAAAAGATGAGGATAACGGCTGCGCTTATCATGCTCGGTCTCCCAAGTCGCCTCCTCGATTGACTGACCCCTCTACTGAACCTTCACTGAGCAATGTTCTTTGACCTCAATTTTCAAACCTGCCTGTCCAAAATAGCCACCGGCTTCTCAACATAAGATAGACCCTTGTCCAACTAGGCTAAACTGAAATCTAACACATAAGACAGATTACCGTGATACTTCTGGAGCATAGAAACATGGAATACCGGATGAACCCCTGCTACACTGGGAGGCAAGGCAAGATCATAAACAACCTCCCCAACTCGCCGCAACACCTCGAATGGACCAATAAACCTTAGGCTCAGCTTGCCCTTATTTCCGAACCTTATAACGCCATTCATAGGTGAAACCCGAAGCAAGACCCGCTCTCCAACTATGAATGCAACATCATAAGCTTTCCGATCTACATAACTCTTTTGTCTAGACTGGGGTGTGCGAAGTCTATCCCGAATCACCTTAACCTTCTCCAAAGCATCCTGCACCAAGTCTGTACCCAATAATCTAGCCTCGTTCAGCCCGAACGAACCCACTGGAGACCGACACCGTCTACCATACATAGCCTCATACGGTGCAATCTGAACGCTCGATTGATAACTGTTTTTGTAGGCAAACTCCGCACACTACTAGAAATTGGAGCTATGGCAACACTTTTTATTGCCACGGTCCTGTAATCGTTGTTATAGATGGTCTGTTGCAATGGTTTCAACCGTTGCGTAAGGTAATTGGTACTATCGGCACAATTTAGCACCTAAACCGTTGCAACGTGTTTGGACAACCGTAGCAATAAGTTTATCTATGGTAACGATTATATGCAATTTTAATATAAGGCAACGGTTATTAACACCCTCCATAATTTCCCCCAAAATTTGGACGGCCCGCTAAAAGAGACCCACTTCTATTATATTTTATATTTAATATTTAATAAAATAATAAAACCTAATATACGTATACACATGGAAATTACGAGGAAGCTAAGCACACAAACGCTATCTTCAAAAGTTCCGATCTCTCTCTCCCAAAAAGCCTTCATCAGTTCGCCGGAGATTACGAGGAAGACAAAGCACCATCGGCGGCACCGGTAAGCTATATTTTTCATTACGATTCCAATTGTATTCTACCATTTTTGTTTATTTTCTTTAAGATCTCAGTCACGCCTTCTATTTTCCACACTGCCTGCGCGCCGCTGGGCCTTCTGTTTTCCATTTCTAGGGCTTCATAGAAAATGAAGTTGAGTTCTATATTTGTCGAAAGATCACTTCTTTTGTCTCAATAAGAAAATGACGATTATTGTTTCTTGAATGCTAATGTTTTTATTGTTTGTGAGAGCATCGCCATTCTGAATTGGTGTTTCTCAAAATTAAGTGTAGCTGGCTTGATCCTAGGTAGGGCCATTGCGAATGTACCGAGTAATTGTTGAATGAAAAGTGAGGAACCATGAGGTTTTGCAAGTGAATTTAAAGGATGAGAATACCCAACAATTTTCATGAAATTCTACTCCTATAACATATTACTTTTCAATTGTAGAAGAATTTGCAGCTGTAGAGGAATGAGAATACCCATTCAGTTTTGCCCCATATTAGTTTTAATTTTTACTCTTTGGTTACAAACAAACGAACAATGTGAAAAAACTAAGGTGTGCATCTTTTTCCCTCATAGTAGTCGAAGAGTATGCGCCATTTTTGCTTGTATGATTCATGGAAGCTACAAGAGCTGATATTCAGCATGTCTGATAATGGTTTGACACATTTGTTTCAAGGGGGATATACCAAGTTTTTGATTTTTTGCTTTCTTCTTCTTTTGAGTTACAATCAAAATGTATGCTATATCTTTTTTTGTTTGTTTTAATTATTAATTGATTTTGAAATTTCAACAATTTACAAAGTGATGGGCATCATTTGATCCCCGGATGGCAATCATACATGTGACTGGAGTAAAAAACAATTTCTTAAGTGAAACTGAATGTGTGTTGAGGTTGAGTTTGCAGCTGTAGAAGAATTAGCAGCTACTATCAGGTTCTTGTGGGTGCTGTGTTTTGCAACTTGGTTTTTCTTTTGGTTAAGGGGTTGTGCTGGAGCTGGGAGTTCCAAAACAGGTGGGGATTTGCAATGTTGAGGCCTGAGGATTGGCCACTGTGGCTTGTTCTTGTTAAAACTGACTGCAATATTTGTTGAGGCAGCGTTCTTTGGGTGAGAGTTTGTGACTGCATTTCCTTCCTGGCAGTGGTGTCTAGCCTTAATGCATAGGTACACCTCCAGTAGAATGAGTATCATAGATACTAATACCACTAACTGGAGTCGTAACAAGCTTGTGATTTATGATGGGATAAGATATATTTTCTTTACTTCCTGCCAATTTGCACTCATCTGATTCTGAACTGTCCGTGAACTTGCTTTGTTTCTGGATTTAAGCTTCAAGTTCATCAGAAATCAGGGCATGACTTGCAAAATATTCATACATTCCTCTCGTATCCGTCTCATCATTAATCACTGCATTACCAATCTGCCGAGGAGAATAAGTACATAATTTGAATCAAGTTAAACCAAAAGACATATTAGAAGCTTTCTACTTAGGAGTAATTTAATGAGGCAGTAATTGATAGTTGTGGAATCGAGAAAAAAATTATGAATATACATCATGTTGACACTACAACATTTTGTGAACAAATGATAACTAACTTTATACTGTCAGTACCTAAACATTTATATATTGGGACTATTATATTCATACTTTACTACTATTACTTAACCTTATTGTGATTAGCTTGCACTATAATACTTATTCAATCTTTTTAATTAGTACACAGATACAAAGTGCAGCTAAGCTGTTTACAACTCTATGATCTGTTATTATTTTTACTTAAGTTCGTGTAAGTGCAATTTATGTTAAAATATATCTTCAGGAAACAACCATTCTGTCCGAGCTAACTGTAATTGGTAGCTTTCTTGAAAGTTGCCTTTCTTATTGATACCATAAGTTGTCAATGATAAGTGATATGTGAACAACTCTACAATATCTAGTCTCTTTAAGTGAGACCTTGTGACCATTATGCCATTTCTTATGCAGAGAAGATTAGTCCTTATGAGAATGACCATTCAGAGAAGGACCGGATACGCCCCTAAGTCCAATATCATCCAACAGAGCTAACGAAACCGACGGAACTCTATTCCGGAGTTGTCTTCACACAGTTCCGACTACGGTCTAAATTTTAAGACTTAAGCTTCCGTTTAGGGACTAAGTATCCCAGAACACTCCGAAACCAAAAGCAAAACCTCCCGGTAAGTCACATAAGTAGAAAAAGATACGGGGGAAGCAGTTAATAGGGGATCGAGGCTATTACTCCCAAAACGACCTGCCGAGTCGTTACAGATTTTATTTCTTGTTTTCCCAAGGATTATTACACCTAGACTATGTGATCTAAATGAGAGATTTGGGGGGTTTTTCTATGGTTTTGGAGAGTGGGAATTGGAGATCTGGTGGTCGATTTGAGATTAAATTTAGATGAAACTTATATATTTGGACTCATATTGGAATAAATATTTGGAATTTTGTAAGTTTTGTCGGATTTCTGGGTGCGGGCTCGGGTTGACCTTTTTAGTTGATTTTGTGTAATTATGTAAATGTCGAAGCTTTATTGTTTGGGGTTATTCCCTACGGCCTTATTTAATGTTATTGAGTTTTTGTTTTTGCTAAATTCTAGCTATTTGAGGTCGACACACGTGGGAAGAGAATTTTAGAGTATTGATTTGGCTTGCTTGAGGTAAGTATCTTACCTAAACATTGTTAAGGCACTAGTTTCCTGGGTTATTAGTGCTGGCTACGTGATATGGATGGTGCACATGTGAGGGGTTAAGCCCATGTGTGTGCACTAGGGTTTTTATCCATGCTTGGGGTATTGCTTAGGCTATGTTATGCCTTGAATCAATTGCTAAGCTTTATGCTATTGTGGTTCTTGTATTTGTACCCCTTTATGATCTAGTTGAATTGGAGGTTACATGTAGGATAATCTCCTGTTCAAACTTGATATTTTCTATTTTGTGTCATAATTGCTTGATTGAGCTATGGTAGTACAATTCGCATTAGGGGTGGGCATAAAATCCGAAAAACCGAATTCCGAACCGAATCGAACCGAATTAATTTGGTATTTCCATTTCGGTTTTTTGATTTATTTCGGTACAGAAATTTCGGTATTTCGATTTGGTATACGGTACTGGATTTTTGATATTTAAAAACCCATTGTCTTTTCCACTAAAATCATTTAAAGATTTCAATGACTTCTCTGCTTTAAGTTGATGATTTTTACTAGTTAGTTCTTCTATCTCATTCGAAGATGAAGCTCTTGTGCTATTATGGAGCTTCTTGAAGTAAGAATCTAAGGCTCTCAGTTGCTTCTCCTGATTGTTCAATGTAGATTTCACTATCCAAAATATTCTTCTCTGAGAACTATGTGAAAGTCGGGATTCGAAGAGGTGCATTCTTTTCTTCTCCCTATATACATGATTTATTTTAGGCAAAACTGGCTGTGGAATGCATCCCCTGCTATGAACTCTTTCCAATAATACTGTAGTGCACACCATTATATCTTTTTCAGCAATGTACTGGTTCCTTAAGGTAATACATGGTCATTCTTGCTAGTGACCTTAGATATATTTTTGTGAATTGAGAAAATGTCAACCTTTCTTGTACATAAACTTCTGCATCCAAAGAATATTTGTATCAGAACCAAATGCACTTTCATTTTGTATGATATCAACGAATTGTATGAACTACAAAGTTTATGGAAGTACACCCCATAATTTACTAAGCCTCAGTGGCTTCTCTACTTCACAAGTAGCTATTTCATTGGCATAAAAGATACTTTATCAACATGTCGAATCGTCTTCTGGTGATATTGTATTGGCTGGCTGATTATCTTTGAATAGTTGAATCAGACATCTCTTCAAACAGAACTTGGAGATAGTAAAGATTTGGTTTAAATCGAAATCGTATTGAAACTGTACCAAACCAAAATAAGAAATACCGAATCGTACCAAAATATTTTGGTACGGTATTTGGTATACACAATTGATAAGCCGAATACCGAACCGAAATTCTTAAATACCAAACTGAAGTACCGAATGCCCACCCCTACTTCGCATATGCATACACCTTAGCATGTCACTTATATCGGTCAATGAGTATGTAATTTGATATCCATTGTTCATGTACATGTATTCTCGTATATGCTTTCTATGTGATATGGACACGTGAGTTGTCCGTGCAGGGTTTAAGATATGATAGCACGTGAGTGATCATGCGGTTGTTTTATATGGCACATGAGTTGTTCGTGTAACGTAAGGATAAGGATCCATCCCCCTAGGGTCACGCTCATGTTTCTCCCTTGATGATGTACACGCAGTATGAGAAAGATTGATTAATGTTTTTTTGTTATTGCATCTTTTCTATATTTGGAATTACCTTGGATGTATATATGTTTTATTCACATATCTTCTGTATATGCTAGATCTGGAATGTATGCATGCCTCGTTATGCATATCTTCTCTGTATACTGTTTGGTTCGATTAGTGAGAGCATGGTACATATATTCTCCATGTCTACCTATGCACACGAGACTTGATCATATATGCGTATCTTTTCTATATGCTGGGTTGTTAACTGATACACGACTTAGCACATTATCTCTTTGTGCACCAATTTAGTTTTATCTGTGTTTTATGATTCAATGGTACCATTGCTATGTACTTGTGAAATTCATGAACTAAGCAAGTCATTAGCGAGTATCACTGGTAATTCTTGGCACTATTACCTCGTTGAGGTTAACTATGATACTTGTCGAGTACATGTGATCGGTTGTACTCATACTACACTCTGCACTTAACTGTGCAGATCCAAGCGTTGGAACCAGCTGAGGCCTGTCCGTAGTTGCCATAAGCTCTTGAGAGAGGAGGTAGAGTTGCATTTCGACCGCAGTCTTTGACGTATTTTTCCATTTCAGTAACTATTATTGTTATTTAAACAGTGTTTTTATTTCGTATTTTTAGAGTTGTATTTCTAGTGTTTTTATTGACTGTTCTTGGGATGTTATGTATTGACAAAGTATATTTATGACATTTGGCTTTAGATTTGTACTATTTCCGTTAATTTTATTATCTTATTCCACTATTATTAGGTTTGTCTTGCCTAGCAAGTGTGTTAGACGTCCTCATGGCCGAATTGTATTTTTGGGTCATGATAGTTGAACTGAGGTGGAGAAGGCTAACCACTTGGTGTTGTAGAAGTGGGATTTGTTATTGGAGAAGAAGGTTCAATCATCTCATTGCCATGGCTGGCAACCCCTAAAGGTTCATCATGAAAAGTAATTCCTGAAGGCAAGTGTCTGAAAGAGTCTTTCTGCAACTAGTTCTTGAAGGGAAAAACATTCTCCCTAAACATGACATCCCTGCTAACAAAGAAGATCTTGTGAGTGAGACTATAAAGTTTGTACCCCTTTTGTGTGCTGGAGTACCCCAAATGGACTGCCTCATTTAGGCCCAAACTTGTTGTAACGACCCGACCGGTCATTTTGAGCTTTTTCACTTTGCTCGGCAGTTTTCGAGCATGACTTTCCCCGTGTGATGTAATATGACTTATGTTCATTTGTTTTGGCTTTGAGGGCAGTCGGAACGAATTTTGGAAGAACAATTCTCAGTTTGAAGGTTAAAATTTGAAAGGTTTGACAAAGATTTGACTTGTTAGTAGATGACCTCAGAGTGGAATTTTTATGATTTGGTTAGCTCCGTTAGGCGATTTGGGACTTGGGAGCGCGTCCGGAATGTATTTTGGAGGTCCGTGGTAGATTTAGGCTCGAATTGGCGAAATTGGAAATTTGGCGTTTTTCAGTCGGCAGTGGAAATTTTGATATCGGGGTCGGAATGGAATTCCGGAAATTGGAGTAGGTCCGTTGTGTCATTTGTGACGTGTGTGCAAAATTTCAGGTTATTTGAACGAGGTTTGATAGACTTTTTGATCGGATTTGGAATTCGGAAGTTTTGGAATTCTGAGGTTTGAATCCGAGGGTGATTCGATGTTTTGATGTTGTTTTGAGCATTCCGAAGGTTGGAACAAGTTTGAATGATGTTATGGGGTGTGTTGGCATGTTTGGTCGGGGTCCCATGAGTCTCGGATAAGTTTCGGAAGAGTTTTTGGAAGATTTTTGCCGTTTTGAGCATAAGCATGTAATGATCCAAAGGTCCATTTTTAGTTCTAGAGATCGAAATTTGATTTCGAGACTTCCGAAATTTTGATAATGAATTATAGGAGTGATCTGGAAAGTTTGGTCTATTTCATCAAGTCGCGATTGGGTTTTTGACGCGAAACATGAGTTAATTGTTTAACGAGCGAAATGGGCATCGCACTGAGCAAATGAGCTCCAAATTGAGTTTCGATTGAAGGGCTATGTTCGTATTATTATTTGTGACTCATAGGAACAAGAATCATCGAATTCCGAGTTCGTATGGTGGAGTTAGAGCCTTTTTAGTAAAAATAAATATTGTTGGTGCAACAGGATCTGGTGCGCACCTTTAGCGACCAGATTTGGCACTTTTAACGACCAGAAATTGGCTTTTAGCGCCTAGAATCGGGTGTATTAGTGTTGTTATGTTTCTTTTGCTCATTTTGACGTTTTTTTTTGGTGAAAGAACACGGCTTGGGGCGATTTTTAAGCAAGAAATCATGAAAAATCTTGAGGTAAGTCACTTGTGATCATTTCTACTCCATAATATTAAATTATCATCGAATAATCCGACTAGATTACATGTTTTTGAGGTTTAAATTGGGATTTGGACCTAGGGATTTGAAAATAAGATTTGAAGATTTGGAGGCCGAATTGTTATCGGAATTTAGTAATTTTGATATGGTTGGACTCGTGATTGAATGTGTTGTCGGATTTTGTTAATTTTGTTGGATTTTGAGACGTGGGCTCGGGGGCCGAATTTGAGCAATTTCGAGATTCTTGATGTAAATTGGATATTTTCGAGTGAGCTTTGTTCCCTTAGCATATTTTAATGGTTATGTACTGATTGTGGCTAGATTTGGAGCATCCAGAGGTCGATTCGTGAGGGCAAAGGCATCGCGGGCTAGAGTTTAGATCGGATCGAGGTGAGTAATGATAGTAAATGATGCTCTGAGGGTTTGAAACCCCGGATTGCACATCGTAGTGCTATATTAAGGTGAGGCACACGCTTGATGATGAGCGTTGGGTCGTGCACTATTGGGGGCTGTGACTTGGTCCGTCCCGATTGATGATTTTACCGCGTATTTGACTGAAATCTATTTGTTATCATCATTATTTGGGCTGAATGCCATATTTGGGCTTCGTGCAAACTATTTGGACCCTTCAGGAATTTTTATTGATATTTCCTCACTGTTTTGACTTCAAACTTGAACTCACTCATGTTATTTTCTACTGTTTTCAAAACTCATCCATGTTCACTCAGTTTTAATACTCAAATGATATTTAAATGATGTTTTGGGCTGAGAAACACTGTTTTACTGTTGCCCGAGATGCATATGTGATTTTTGACTGAGTAAGGCCGAGGGCTTGTGTTGTGAGGATATCTTTTGGGTCGGGCTGCATGCCGCAACGGTGATACACTGATTTTGATTATGAGGCCGAGGGCCTAAGATTGTACGCCACGAGGTGGCTTGATATTGATATGAGGCCGAGAGCCTGTTTATGATGCCACGAGATGACTTCTTATTGCGCTTGGGCCGTAAGGGCCCCTTTAGGAGTCTGCACACCCCCAGTGAGCGCGGGTACCCATTGTGATGTGAGATATAGCCCGAGGGGCTGTTGTTCTATGTGATTGCCCGAGGGGCCGGTATTGTTCTGAGATATTGCCCGAGGGGCGGAGTTGTTGACATTGTGCCCGAGGGGCGAACCTTTATGTGTTTATCTGTCTTATCTACCAGTCATTTACCTGTTTAATTGTGTAATTGTGCCTGAGGGGCGGATTTTCTATGCTTATCTGTTCTAGTTGCTTGCATTCAATTGCTTAGCTGTTGAAAAGCCATTTTTGAAGAAGTTTAAACTGAGCTAAGGTGCTTATGAGATTTCACAGCTTCATTGCTTTCTTACTGGTTTTTGTACTGCTTCTATACAGCATATTGATGTACTCTTCGTGATTTCCTATCACTTAATCATTAGTTATGATTGTTACTCACTGAGTTGGAAGTACTCACTTTACTCCCTGCACCTTGTGTGCAGATTCAAGTATTTCTACACCCGGTAGCGGGTATTGGTTGAGCATAGGCAGAGTTATTGGAGTTTTAGCAAGGTAGCTGCCCGATGTCCGCAGCACTGCTTTACTACCTCTTGATGTCATTAGACTATATTTAGTATATTTTCCGGAATTCCGTTGTATTTTAGACCCTAGTAGATGCTCATGACTAGTGACACCCCGGTATCGGGCTGTGTTGGATTGTATTTAGCGAATCGTTTTGTATTGCCACTGTTTACTTTTGGATTTATATCATGTTTTAGACTTAATGCTTATTGTTTAATTGCTTAAAACTGGATTGGAAATGTGTCGGCTGGCCTTGTCTTCACGAGAGGCACCATCACGACCCGGTCCGGGTTTGAGGTCGTGACAAGTTGGTATAAGAGCCTAGATTACATAGGTATCACGAGTCATGAGCAGGTTTAGTAGAGTCCCGCGGATCGGTATGGAGACGTCTGTATTTATCCTCGGCAGGCTGCGAAACCTTTAGGAAAAAACTTCACCTTCTTGAATTCTTATCGTGCGTCCTTGATTCAGCTTGAAAAGTAACTCTTTGAATTCCTTCTACGCGTTCGTATGCGCGCATGAGCGCTCAATATCAAATGTGCATCGATGGCTTGTGATTTTCTGATTGAGGGGCGGGATGTGATCTCTGTGTGTTGATGTTGGGCCAGTCTGGGAGACTTGAGGCCAGATTGTTACCTATAGCTTGAACCCTGAGTTGTTGATTGCGTGAGCACGTGTTTCTGGATCTATATGTGCATTTGTGTCCCTATTAAGGGAAGTAATGACTGGATAGTTACGTGATGAGGGTGATGTGACGGCAAGATGTACTCATATGATTTGAAATGACGAGAAGGGTCTGCTGGAGGATAGAAGAACTATTAGGTGCTTGATTTCCATCTTGATTTGATGTATAGCCCCGAGTTATGGGCGTGTGAAGAATCTTTTCATGTTTCCTAGTTGGGAGCGAAGTAAATTTCATGTTGCGGTATGAGTTCAGACTCAGGAAGATTTAGTGAATGTGTAACGTTTATGACGGTAGAAGGTATACAGAAATGCTAGTTTGAGGCAAAGTAGGTGGGTTATCTCCTATGGAGTGTTCTGAGGTTGTGCAATCCTTATGTTGTCTGTTAGAAGATCTCATTTACAAGTGAAATATATGTGTTGCAATTCAAATTTGGGTCGCTTAAGAGAGTGGGTTTAACTATTGTGAGAGCGAATGCGAGATTTACAGAAGATTTACAGTAATAAAAGATATGTGTTTCACGAGCTTATGAAGGATTGAGTTTAATCTCACTATGGTATTATGGAAGTAATAGAGTATATGCGTTATGAGTTATTGAGTGTGTTTTGATCTATGGCTTCGAGCCAACTGGGGAGTCTGCTATTGATTAGTTGATTGCACGGTTATATGCTATGTTGGTTCCAGTGTGCGGCGTACTGGTGAATCCGTTATGGCCTACGGAGATTGAGACCGAGGATGGCTCGAGTAAAGGAAAATTCTTGGCAAGGGTTATAGTATACTTCATAGGTGTGTGAGAATATACGGAATGTCTTGAGTTGTTGTTGGTAAAGAATGCTCGGTGCATAAAGCAGGAAGTTACTTGGTTGTATTGGGATGAGGTTACATTCTGCGGTGTCGAGTGCTAATGAGGCATGGGTTGTTCAGTTCATTTAATCAGGCTAATTGTAGTTTGAGTAGAGTGGATGACTCTAGGGGATGGTTCTAATGCGTTCAAGGTTTTACATGTAATAATTGGAGCTTTTTAAGTGTATAATTTGGCTAGAAATTGAGATTTGCATTGGAGGGTGCCAAGACTTGTGTCATTAATATATCAATTATGGGAT